GAGCTACTGTGCACACCATGGTGACTCTCTTGCAGTTGTAAGGTTGCATGCACAGGTCACATTAAGCCACACATCACTGCATCTCTGCCAGTACACACATCTGCCTACTTAATCCGATTCCAAAAAACTACTCCAGCAAGCTAAAGAAGTAGCAAGCTATTAGGTTGCCTTTGTGAAACTTGGTCTGTAATTCTTCTGTCTTTCTGCAAATGTCACTGAGCTCTATCCTGTGTTGTCGCATTGGTAAATACCTATTCTACTGCAGTATTCTGAAATAAGAAATCAGTATGTGTAGACAATTTAGGCGTAACATGTTGCATTAATATAGGCTAGACCCTCTACCAAGTGTTTTCTATTCATTACTCTAAATAAAGGTTGACAGCCTTCAGCCTTCACGTTTCTGAGATTTTCTTTGTCACACACAGCAAGCATTATTGTGTGTCACTGGACTGGCAGCTCACACCCTCGGCTTTTGTGTCTTCCTATATCACACAATAGCAGCACTGCTTTTTCCCACCATGGGTGTGATACTGAAGACAAAGATGAATGCTCCTTCCCTTGGAGTACTCAGAATAAAGAACCTAAAGATGCTGAACCTCCTTTATATAGATGAACATTTTTATACCAGCTTCAGCTTTTTATCATACTTATATTTAAACATGATATTGTAGTAAACCTGTCTGATGCTCTTCAAAGTACTGACCCAGCTGTGTTAATAAATATTTTTACAGTATTCAAAAAAAATTTTTCATTCATGTAAAAGACTAAAATGTTCTTCTAACCAGTGTACTGCTGAATATAATTCTTGTTTTTTGAAACAAAAGTGCTTCTCCTGACTGAAATATGTTTACATACATACATACATAGCATTGATAGCCCCCCCCAACTCTAACACCTAAACAAACCAACAGAGAAATGTTTTTGTTGTTCTACTGCTTAACTTCATCATGCAGATTTTTTTCTAGAAACTATAACTACAACCCTTTATTTTTAGTTGCAGTTGAACATACAGTATGATTTCCCACAATAATTGATGTGCGATCCTGTCACTTCCTCCTGCATTTAAGATTATTAACCTGTAGGAACACTACTTGTCTTTACCCCTGTAGCAGTTCCTCTTTTTTTTCAGGAATTGGAAACCCACTGTGTTACATTCATGTGCTGCTTTAGGCTTTTGTTTTTAGTTTTATTGTATTTCATGGATTAGAATTTGGATTTCATGGGTTAGAATTTTGATACTAACTGATAATTCATTTACTTTTATTAAGAAAATTGAGTGTCTTCCAAATTTTGGTCATAGTCCAGACATATAGCTACATTTACTACAGCATGTTCACTTGTTTTAAAATGCTCATCTCACATTTGCTCATTTTTTACAGCCCTGTATGTCACAACATCACACATCATTTATTTAACAAGTTACTTCTAGCTTCTTTCCAATGTTACAGTATGATTTGGTTGCAGTAGTAATCCTTATGAGGCAGCAACACTTCCAGTGTAATCTCATTTTCAGAGCACATTACGTATGTAGACATAAACAGTCTCAGAAGAATCTATGCTCTTTGTAAACGGGTGCAGTCACTTGGAGCCACAGCTGGTCCAGAGGGTGCCCATCAAAACAGGCAGATGGCCTCTTGGTGCCTCAAGCCAAGTTTACCACAATCAGTTCTTAGTGTCATTTGCTTCCCATTTCATGGACAAGATTCTTAACTTCAGACTATACTAGCGACATTAGTAGAAACTTTGTAATATAGTAAATATTTATATTAATGCTCTGCTCTCCATCCAAAAAGGATCAGGGTTGATTTTTCTCTCTTTGAGGTATTCTTTAGCGAGATGCGGAGCCCTTTAGCTACATTGTCAGTGTAAGATTCTCAAGCTATATTAAACATCTTAAACACTGTAACAGGGGATAGTGGTGCCTTGTGTTGTGTAATACTGGCTAATGTGATTCCAAAAGCACACATTGTTATAGGACACTGAGGAGCTGTTGTGTTACTAGACTGCTCATAAGGATGGGAGAGGACTTAGAGGAGGTTGGGGTCTGGCATCACAGATGTGTATGAATTCCCTGGCCTTTTGTTGCTTCTTAAAAAGACAAATGCCCTTCTTCCCATACTAAAAATGACTTTAGATTAAATGTAGCCTCATGGGAAAGAAAATTAATGTGGAATTGTGCCAGTCTCTCAGCAGAGCCTATTGTTTGAGTGCAGCTGTTAAGGTCCATAGAAACACAATCTCTCTCCCCAACATGAGATATAGCTGTCATTTCAGCAAAACAGAACTAGCTGCTTTTTTTTTTTTTTTTTTTTTAACCTCAGGGACAGCCACACATAGGGCCGCCTCC